GAGGGTTGCTGGGAGCAGGGGGTGGGGCTTGTTGCATGTGCCCGCCCCCAGGGCTCTTTACTGCTGGAGCTCCACTCCTGTGCGCTCCTGCAGGGAATGACCCCTGATTCTTACCGTTTGAAGCTAGAGGTCAATTTAACTTGTAGGTGAAGAATCCAAACAGGCTGGATATTTTTTTTTGGGGGGGGGGGGTATTTTTTGCTGATTTGCAAAGAGCTCCTAGCAGTATGGGGACCTTGGCCCACACTTTCCCTATACAGTTAACAGTCCTTCTTTTCACAAAATCCACCATGGCGCCTCTCTGGTCTGCATTTTGTTTAGAAAATAAACCCGGCACTTTTATTCTCTGCAATCCGTTCCTGCAACACAGGGTTAATAATAAAAAATCGTGGGGGTTAACGTTGAAGAAGAAACCCCGCGGTTCCCCAACCTGGGGTAAAAAAACACCAAGTCAGCCGTGTTAGGAGAGGGATGGGGGAGAATTAGCACTGTAAAAAATAGACTTTAAGCCAAAGCCCCTGGAATTCAGCGCTGGTCACTATATACATCCGTGGAAAAGAGCCAGTGAGCCCTGGTCCTGCGAAACCCTGGAATTAGCCTGGACACGCAACACAACACACAACCCTGCTAAGCAATAGCGTTGCTCCTCCCCGCCTGGGGGGGGGGGAGAAGGAGGGGTTTCCCCATCTCTCACAAGGAGTCCACTGGAATGTCATTCTCGAACACCAAAGAGGGTGTGATGAAGGCTTTCAGCTCCGAGGAGGGGAATGGTGGCCTGTCCATGGCTTAGTGCGGTGGTGGTGGTGGTGGTGGCGGCGGTGGCCCTTGCTGCTTTGGGAGCGCTGGGAGCTACTCATGGTCCAGTTCAGCGCACGGTGGTTGGCTCCGTTCCAGTCGGCCTGCTGTCCGGAGTCCCAAGGGGACTGGCGGCCGCTCCGCCCACGGCGGGCGTCCTGGTCGCTGTTGAGCTGGTGCCAGTAGCTCTCGCAAATGCCGAGGGTGGACGGGGCCTGTTGGGCGAGGGCCCCTTCGAGCAAGGCGCGGGGCAAGACGTGCAAGCGCAGGCGGCGCAGGGTGTGGCGGAAACGGTTCTCGGTGCCGACGCACTGGTAGAGCCCTCCGTCGGAGGGAGTCACCGGGCCCAAAAGCACCCCCTGAGGCGTACGCAGGAGCACGCGGTCTCGGGGCAACTGGGAAGGGAGAGAGAAAGCACAAGAATAAGAGTTCGGTGGGTTGCCCCGCTGTATTTATCCGCTTAAAGAAACAAAAGTGCAAAGGGGTAGACCAAGAAACCAAATCACCCACAACCGCCTCTTGGTATGGCATAGTCTGGGATTATGTCTTACTAGAGAAATGTACGGTCTTCTTCGATGAGAGCCGTAATAAAAGGGAACTGCACAACCCACTTTTATTTAGAGATAAAAGACCTCTTGATAGAAAGTTAAAAAGTAGTTACCCATTCCTTTCAGAGTCAAAGATCGGTACTTAATCAGCTCAGTCCTTTTCTTTAAATTGCCGAAACAAAATAGCTATGTTTTTAGCACTACTCAACTTAATAGTACAAGGGCACGTTAAAATGTATTATTAAACTGTTTTTTTTAGAATGCTATTCTTAATGTAGCTCACCAAGTTGACAATGTTCGTATTGCTCTGTAAAACATTTGAAAATTTTAATAAAAATAATTTTTATACACACACATACACACACACACAAATTTCACAAGTTGCCAGTACACACAAGTCTTATTGAAGCATGGTGACGTTACATCAATCAATAAAGTAGAATTGGTGGTCACAATTCAATGGTCACAATAATGGTAATAAACAACAAGAGACTCCCTCTGAATCCTTTCATAAAATAGTGTCCTAAGGACCTCAAAGTCAACAAACAAGGCGGAGGATCTCCCAAAGAACAAAGGAACTTCTGCACACGAAAAAGACGTCCTTCCCAGGTATACCAGACATTTCAAAACATTCTTCCTCAGTTACACGGCTGAAAAATGGAGCCAGATTTCCACAATAGTCTAGGCACAGCTCGTCCCTCAAATGGAATCCATGGATTCCAATTGAGATATGAGCTGCGCCTAGACTATTGTGGAAATCTGGTTCCATTTTTCACTATTTCATGAAAGGATTCAGAGGAGTCTCTTGTTTATTACCATTATTGTGACCATTACCTTTGAACTGTGACTACCAATTCTACTTTATTTATTGATGTAATGTTACCATAGAATCATAGAATGGTAGAGTTGGAGGGGACCTTGAAGGTCATCTAGTCCAGCCCCTGCACTCTGCAGGAGCACAGCCGAAAGACAGCCCCACAACATACCCGAAAGATGGTTGTCCAGCCTCCACTTGAAAACGTCCAGCGAAGGAGCATCCACCACCTCCCGAGGCAGACTGTTCCACTCCTCAACCACTCCTGATATTTAGCCGGCTTCTACATGACAGCCCTTCAAATACTTGAAGACTGCAATCATGTCCCCTCTAAGCCTTCTCTTTCCCAGGCTAAACAGACCCAATTCTTTCAGCCTTTCCTCCTAAGACTTGGATTCCAACCCTCTCACCATCCTGGTTGCCCTCTTCTGGACACGCTCGAGCTTGTCAACATCCTTCCTAAAACGTGGTGCCCAAAACTGGACACAGGACTCCAGGTGAGGCCTGACCGTAGCAGAACAGAGCGGAACGACCACCTTCCGTGATCTGGACACAATGCTTCTGTTAATGCATCCTAAGATTGCATTTGCTTTCTTTGCAGTCACATTGCACTGCAGGCTCATGTTTAACTTGTAATCAACCAGAACACCCAGATCCCTTTCACATGTGCTGCTGTCAAGCCAAGCCCCTCCCATTCTATATCTGTGCCTTTAATTTTTTGTACCTAAGTGTAGGACTTTGAACTTCTCTCTATTGAAATGCATTTTATTTGTCTCAGCCCCACTGTTCCAGCCTGTTCTAGGTTTCAATAGACTTGTGTCTACTGGCAACTTGTGAAATTTGTATATTTGTTGATGGTCTACCCTTTTGCGTTTTTGTTTCTTTATACATTATATACGCTTGGGGTCCCTACTGTTTGGTTTGTATTTCTCCTCTTAAGCAGTGTTGTCTCATGGAACTTGCTGTGGTTGCAGCTTTTGCTTCGGCCCAGTTCCAGCATCCACTTTACACCACTGCAGATGTTCTTATAAATATGCCTTTTTTGGGCTGTCCAGTCACAGCTGACTTATGTGACCCCGGTATCGGGTAAGAACATAAGAGATGCCAATGTTGGATCACGCCAAAGGCCCATCCAGCCCAACACTCTGTGTCACACAGTGGCAAAAAATACCAGGTGCCGTCAGGAGGTCCAGCAGTGGGGCCAGGACACTAGGAGCCCTCCCACTGTGTGTGTCCCCCCCAGCACCAAGAAGACAGAGCATCACTTGCCCCAGAGCCCCTATCTATACCTTGTGGCTAATAGCCACTAATGGACCTCTGCTCCATATGCTTATCTAATTCCCTTTTGAAGCTGTCCATGCTTGTAGCCGCCACCACCTCCTGTGGCAGTGAATTCCATGTGTTAATCACTCTTTGGGTGAAGAAGGACTTCCTTTTATCCGTTCCAACCCAACAGCTCAGCAATTTCATGGAGTGCCCACGAGTTCTTGTATTGTGAGAAAGGGAGAAAAGTACCTCTTTCTCTACCTGCTCTTTCCCATGCATAATCTTATAAACCTCGATCATGTCTCCCCTCAGTCGTCGTTTCTCCAAGCTAAAGGGCCCCAAGCGTTTTAACCTTTCTTCATAGGGAAAGTGTTCCAACCCTTTTATCATTCGAGTTGCCCTTTTCTGCACTTTTTCCAAAGCTATAATATCCTCTTTAAGGTGTGGTGACCAGAACTGCACACAGTATTCCAAATGAGGTCGCACCATTGATTTATATAGGGGCATTATGATATTGGCTGATCTGTTTTCAATACCCTTCCTAATAATCCCCAGCATAGCATTGGCCTTCTTTATTGCAGTCACACACTGTTTTCAAGGCAAGAGCTGTTCGGAGGTGGTTTGCCGTTGCCTGCCTTTG